ATATATATAACTAACCATATATTTATCTTTCAGTATTCTATGCCCATTGAGTATCTATAAATAAATATGAAAATATAAATATAAATATAATATTTATTTTTCTTTTGTTTTGTCATTAACAATATGTCTAGTCAAGGGTTTTTGTTCGACGTTTAGATAATTGGTTCAAATAAATAATTCTTGCTTACTTCTTCATAGACTACTGGATTTTATACAAAATTAAAAAGCATTTTATGAAATACCAAAAATTGAATATTATACATTTTATTTGTTAATGTATCAAAGTAAAATACAATTATTTTATTTTAATAAAATTATGTTTAACCAATAAATTATTATACTTACAAAAAATTGTATTTTAATTATATTTATTTAATAGATTTTATTAATGTGAGATAGTTTAACAACTGTTTTGAATTTCGAAAAGAGTGAAATACAAATTATCATCATTATAAATCAACAAATAATCAAAGTACAAATGTATTATAGAACTTCCAAAATAAATTTACATGAATAAGTGATATTATTATTTTGTTGGTTTAAGCAAATGTAAACATTCTAATTAACCATAACTGAAATATATGTTGAAATCGTATAATAAATGACTACCTATACAAACGTATTCATAATTTGAATGTTTGGATTGTTTTTTAAAGGAATAAATATGTGAATAAATTCTACATAAGTTTTGTGAGATTTTTATTGTATCGCATTTAATTATAAACTTTTTTACTTGTTTTTTTTTCTCAGAATTAAAATAATTTTTACTATAAAATCTTTATAAAATGTTATTTCTAAAAAACTACTGTTTAGCAAAAAATAAAAAAATTATACAGAAAGTATTTTCATTTATTTTAAATCATGTTTTTAGATTTAAAAATAAAACCAAGATTTATTGGGAATATAAAATTGCAACATTTTGACGACGGACTACATTACCGTAGCCTAAGATGGCACTTCCATTACCAGGAAATCTTGATAAATGTATACCTTTTTTAATGTAAACAATAGTAACAAAAGTAAATGCGTAAACGTTTTTTATTGTTTAGAATTTTTATTAGTGGTATACAGACAATTTTGTAATGAAAATGATCATAATTGCTCGTATAACTGTTTCATCAAAATTTAATTTCTGATCAATGAAATGTATTTAAAATTTTTGTTACTCGTGTTTTGACGCTAAAATTATATTTTTGCCAAATTATATGCTTTAAAATTTAAACAGAAATATACTGATGAAAACAAATTATCCAATTTTAACACTGTGTAAAGTAGTATGTGTTTGGAATCGTTAAATATTCTAGTTAATCATATCATTAATAGTTAAATCATTAAACGAAATATTATTTAGTTCATTAACAGAAAAGAATATCATGGCAAACAGGATTGAATAAAATATTACTAAATATTTTTTCTTTATATTGTAAAATCTAATACGAGGAAATTAAAATAGACATGTTTAAATTACTGTTTGCGTTAAATTTTTAATCAAATAATTATTTACACTAATCCTACAAATTTTGAAAAGTTCTTAAGGCCAATATTAAAATTAGTTATGTCTATTTTACTGTTTATTTTTTTGTCATAAATTTAAAGTTTGGTCTATTTGTGATAACTAAGAGAACACACGTATTATGATTATTGTGTTACATTATTTTTAAAACTTCATAAAAAACAAAAATATTTGGATGGAGCGAATAAAAATATTTTTCAAACGCTGAATGAAATTTCTCACAGGCATTTGTTGTTCTTTCGCCTGATATGTTACACGACCAAAGATACGGGGGAAAAGTTTCATTTTCATCAATATAAGTATCAATAAGGTAATAGCAAAATGTATTAACTTGAATTTTGATCGGCGCAATAGATGTATACCTATAAATTATACCTTTTTTATACCGGCGCAATAGATGTACCTTTTTTTCATCCCATAATTTTTCTTTCTTTACCTGCGACTTTCGATGCAACTGATATAAAGCCATTTTTACGAAAGTATAGCTTGACAAAGAATAGCAGTTTTAATTATCGTTATTATTGTTCTTTGCATTTAGAGGTCATTATTACTGAAAGAACGTTGAAGTAGTAGTAATTTTATAAAAACGTAACAGAAATGTATTGAAAGTATCAATAATCATCTTATTGATCTAACAAGGCAGTATATTGAAATAGAATAATTCTAAATCTCTACGTTATGCATGTTTTGGCAGACTGACACAGACATAACTGCTTCCAATCCCCTTAGAATTTTTAAAACTATTGTACCCTATATTTTTTAAAATATTTTAGATTCCGAGTTAAATGAGGAATGCATTGGTTGCACGATGTGTATTTTTGGTTTTTGTGTCTACGATTTCAAACAGAAGGATTGACAAAAGTTAGAACATTATAAGTTCAACCTAGCTTATTATAAATTGTGATTCAACTACTATTCGATTTGTTTCACTCAGAATTGTTTTTCTAGAGCAATGGTACATTGGTTTCAAATTTAAAATACCAATCAGCTAAATAATTTTTTCATCTCTGTATTTTATCTGACCATAGAGTTTCGATTTTTTTTGATTTTATTACAGTTATTTGTTTTATTGTTTTTTAACATGGATACGCTCAATAGATGTAAAGTGTAAGTAATCAAATATAATATAAGAAACTTGTTTAAACATTTTTTATATTATTAAACTTTATCGAAAATAAAATAAAAGCCATCCATAATCGTTGTTACAATAGTTTAATGTTTATAGATTAAACAAATAAATAATATAAAAAACGTGCAGTAATTTATTAATGTCTTTTTAAATTTTGTTTTAGAATATTTTATATCGGCTATAGATTACCTTTGACACCAATACGATATTTCAACGGCGTGTGTACATGACTACAAACGTAATGCATACATAATTTATGACTATTATTGGAACAGGCATTGGTGTAAAATGTCTGTTATATCGTTCTATTTATACTACATGAACTTTTCCGAAATAAGTGATTAAGTTGGCGTTTGTTTTATCTATTATGATCGTGATTAGATCTTTATTATTTTTCATATTACTGTAGGTACACAAGTCGATATAAAAGAATACTTGTAAAATTTGTATTAATTATATAGAGCGATTTTTTGATGCTTTAGTTTATTAGTTACATAGTTGTGTAAAATAAATAAATCTATGGTATATCGTATTAACAGAAAAAAATTTTTTTTGTTAATACGATATACCATAGATACATTTATACATTGTACCTCTTTAATTAATTCAAGAGTTTGGAAGGTTGATGTGATAAATTGACAACAGTACAGATGTTTTGGCATTGCGTAATATCTGCGCGTGAAGGTTGAACAAATCTCAAAAATATTTGATTGGTGGACGAGGAAAAAACGTAATGAGGTGTGTTTCACATGGTTTCTATATAAATATGTGACAGTAGAAAATAAATCCCGTAGCGGACTCACAGCCGCATTCGATGTGTTGTGTATTAGGTTTAAACCGGCGACATTGTAATGATAACGAATATTTCTTATAGCTCAAGGCCAGTAGAGTTCGTAATGAATCGGTACCTTAATCACCGGAGTTCAGAGGTCGTGTAAAGTAATGTGCCCTGCGCACCCCGTGCTACAACCGAGAGAATATCGCGGTGTACACTGGAAAGTAGAAAGCTAAGGGTTTGGCACGCGCTGGTGGTAGTTTTCACGGTAGTTGCCATCACGCTAGTATATCGTTTTTTTTTTCACAGCTGGCTTCCCGACCGAAAACAGGCTTAGACCGGAAATGAAATATACTTGTATTCCTCCTAGGAACTCAACCCATGTTATAAATGTGTTTTGGCTTGGAAAATTTGTACATCCAAATGACGTTTGTTCGGTCGACGGAACGTCAGTATTGTACCTACAGTGTACACTACGACGCACATGGTTTCACTGCGGTACAGGTAATGCGACTTCACAACGACGACGATGGCGATGGTGGGATCAAGAATGTAACCAGGGCATTAGGGTTCAGATGTCTTTCCTATCGAAATGTTTTCTTAAAATTAAATTGAATGATTTTATATGAACTATTAAATTTAACCCCCCCAGAAAAAAAAAAAATAAATATTTAGCTGCTTTTGGCTTTAGGCTATGCCCGACGGTATAATATGATAATATTGTAAAACACAAGCACCGAACAAAATATATTAATGGAAAAAATTGATGAAATGCATTCGAATTCGAACAAGTGCAAAGAAACCCGTTGCAACGGTTGGTTATACAATATTGTATGATAGCGATGGTTAACCAACGTGTAGAGACAACCGACACATTTTACGCGTGTCATAATGGAATCGAGCGAATGTTGAACGACTGCGTGTAAAATAATTAGACATTTACTATTTTTAAAATTCGGTTTAGTAAATTGGTTTTATTTTAACTATGCGATTTATTTTGTTTTATCGATTCTCATATCTAATTTAAAATAATGCACGATCAAAATAGTTATATGAATCATAAACAGTGATAAATATCTGTATAAGGAATAATGTATTTGAATTAATAAGATCCAAATAAGTTCACTTTACCTTTGTGCTATTTTTAATTTTTTTGCGAATTTGATTGTTATTTTAAATATGTTTGTTGCAAAATTTCGTTTGAAACACATAGTTTATCTAATAGAACTATAAAAATCATCAAAAATATTTCTAGATATGAATGATAAATGTATTATGTTTTATTCATTGAAGAAATCACGATTCGTATGTAATCGAGTAATAATATATATTTTGTTTTTTTAAATACAACATTATAGCATATCCAACGATAAAAACTCGACAATTTTCAGAACTTTATTTTCATTTACAATATTTTTGAAGTGAAACTAATGTAATAGAATTTTGCCGATTTGTAATATATTTGATTTCATGCAAGATCACAACAGTGGATTAAATAATATTATTTATAATAATAATAATAATAATAAATGCGTTGTGTTAACAAAAATGCAGAGCACAATGTCGAGTATATTGGCACTTGCCTCATTTTCGGCAACTCGCAGTATAGCCACTCGGACGCGTCTTCTACAGTGACTCGCCTATGTTCAGATGGCAAGTCGAGTTTATTGCCGGCTATCACGATAGGCAGCATCTGGTAGTCTTCGCGTTGTTCCCGAACTTCCTCGAAGTTCCGCTTGACTGTCTCGAATGACCGTTCGCAATCGATCGAATAGACAAACATGAATGCGTTTGCGTTGGCTATGCTCAACCGCCGCATGGCCGGAAACTGAGGGTTGCCGCACGTATCCAAAATATCCACCTGTAAACAATATAGAAAACACACGCACACACGTGTGTTAAAAATAATAAGGTATTAAATAATAATGTATATTTTATAAAAATTAAAATTAAATAAATTTGATTTTGTGATATGAGTCATACAGTTTGATAATTAATGACGTAATCAGGATTTTGAAATTGTAAAAAAAAGTTAAAAAAATGTCGATCTTCACACATAGTTCCTACATGTTTAAAATGAATAAATTTAAAATGTTCTAGAAATTATAGGAGCGATTTACATAAAAAAAAAACCATCTAAAATGTATTACCATTAAACGCCCGGCCCTGCGCTTCCCGGTCCCTTCCTAAAAATATGTTTCTCGTGATATCAGCAAAAAGAACATAATGACATTTTCATAAGGCGCTCCTTACAAAGTACGTTTGTTCAAATGATTTATATACCGCATTATTACGATTGTTGAAAGTACCGGGAAATGTATAAATCTTTTTTTGCTTGAACAATTTTTTAGAGGAAAATTTTTTTTTGGATTCATTACAGTAAGTTTTCAGTAATATCGAGAATAACAGCCATACAAAAAAACATTTTGCTCTCCTCGTATCACCAGATCTATATATGTATTATTGTGTTAAAATGAAAGTACTTGTTGGAGGGGAGTCTATATAATAAGCGTTTCATTTTTTGTGGTACCCGGTGAGTTAGGTCGCAAACAATTGATAGCGGATAAAATAAATCGCTAGGCTTATGGATACAATCGATACAGTTCACGTATTATAATCGAACTTTTAAAACGTATTAAAAATGTTAAAACCCAATAAATGCTAACTCAAATGTTCGTTCTTCGTACGGTATATTTACTTAAATTGATGAAATTCCTACTGGATCAACGGATCCGTATCCCATTTCCCGTGGGTTAGGACGTGCACTACAAATGCGTGAACTTAGCATAGCCTACAACATAATCGTGTAGTTATTATTTTCATTTATTCGACGATATGGAAACTGCTATCGGACGAAATATTTATTATGCGGTCACAACGGTATTATTGCCAACAGAATATGGTAATCCGTTCAACTGTGCCGTTGCTTTTTTCGGATTGTACATACTGTCGAATAATATAACAGTATAACGTGCGCAGAAAGTGCGAAAGTCACTCGTTTTATGTATCTGACGAGTGAAAGTTACATATGTATATTGAAATTTGATGAATACATTTTATGTCATAACGAAAAGGATAGATTTCGTTACTTTCCGTCAAAACTTTACGATTATTATTTTATGGACGCATTGGTTGATGAACATGTGAACGGTGAAATGATAAAAATAGATGTATTACGAGTGATTTAACTTAAATTATGCTTCAAAATGAATCATCCGATTCCAAGAAATTATATTTATCGTAATGTTTGAATAACTGGGTTAGGATAAGTTTAAAAAGTTAAATTGTATGTATACTATTTTTAAATGTTAAATGTGTCGATTATATTAAATTTTAGGAGTTATAGGTACAATATTTAGAGTTATAATTATACAATAAATAAAGTGTTCTAACTCTTCACTCTTCCAACGCTTCTTTGCATATAGTTGTTATGGAGAGCCTCTGACAACTGAATTGTTTATGATTTATATTACAGACGTCTCCACTAAACGCGCCAAACTGTTGTTTGTGAAATAAGAAGTTTTTCGGATGCTCGACGAAAAGATTTCTGTACACTTCTTATGAAACTTTGTTGAATTTGTTCAAAATGTTCATCTGAAGTTTTTGGTCTTCCCTTTACAAAAGTAACTGGTTTCTTTGAAATTTTTTTATCATATTTGTATACTTTGGGTTGTTGGAAGTTCAATGTTAAACTTTTTTTAAAAATCACCCTGCACGGTAATAACAGATTCGCACTTTTTGATACGGAGTACATAAAACACTTTTTGTGGTTCGGTCAATATTTTGTTAATAATTAATTAAATGACGTCACTTGGTTAAGGTTTATCATAAATTATCAATAATCGATAGAAACTCGGTAACCCTACCGTTCAGATAGTTGGTGCTTCGTTTATCACAAGATACAAAAATAATATTTACAGTATACTAAAATCGGATGAATCTTTTTGAAATCACTTGTATTTATATCTGAAATATTCACAGAACGAGTGAAATTCACCAAAGTTTTGCTTAGTGTGCACGTTTTTCTGTAAATTTTTGTTTCGTAGTTGTCGGAATCGTATAGGACTTGAAACTTAAACTTGTACATAACGCACGTGATGCATGTGAAGGTACGCGGGTTTTCGACTGTAAGTTTCTGCTACGAGCATTATTGACCAGTGTCGAGATTGGTTATAGAATTATCGTGTGACGGTGTATCTATTGCTATGAAATTATTGCTTCTCACAATAATATTTTTCAATTGTCCAACATACGCGTCGGGTAAGTAGAAAACATCTAGACCACGAGAGGTACAATTTAAGCGCATCAAAGCTTATCCGGATTATTGGATCGATAAACAGTAGTGGTGTAGCGTAAAGTGTATACGGATACAATAACATTAAACGCATGCATGCGAATTAATTCTTGCACGTAGTACAACTTATTATTATCAACGGAGTTCAAACTTCATCTCGTTTTATTGACGTATTCGCCCATCTTCGTATTCAATCCAAAATAATTTCTGGTGTTGTTCATCAAATTATCGGCATCGTTAAATTTCCATTTTAGCGTTTCGTATAAAATTCACATGGTTTAAAGAACAAATGCGAGCTCTATGGTTCTTTGCTTTTATTTTAGTATGTTTTTAATGATTTTTATGAAATGTACATATCCTTTGTTTGTTCGACCCTTAAGAGTAAGTACCATATATGTGGGTTTTTTTTAAATAGGAATATTTACAATCTGTAACCCTTTATACAGTTAATGAATTTTAAACACATCTAATGAAAAAATAATTATAAATCTTAAATTATTATACATTTATAACAAATCATAAAAAGAAAATCAGGGGTAAGGCCTAATCTAAACTGGCTTAAGGTAATATACCTATGTAGAAGCTCTCAGGCTCTTTTTTAAGTTATATAGGATTTCAAATATTAAGTTGTTCAATGAGTTATTTGTATATCCTAATACGTCGCTTATACTTCCCTTAAAATTTCCATTTTTAAGATTTTATTATAAAATCTTAAAATAATTTTAAAACTTCATTTTATTCTTAATAAAAGGCTTTATTTAGTACAAAAGTATTTTAAAGTACTGTCTTATTTTAGTTTAAATATAATACACATTTTAAAAATAATTAAAGTTGTTACATTAAAATAATTGATAGGTTTTTAAAATCTTAATTTCCATCATCATCATCACTAGTTGCTCCATTCGAAGTTGGCAGGTTCAAAATTTCATCATAGAATCTTTGATATTCTTGCGGGATGTATTGTCTGACTTTTGATATGTCCTGAATCTTTTTGGGGTTGACTGCAACTTTATCTTGATAGATTTTATCCTCCGGGAACAGCACTTCTTTTGTTTTATTTAGTTTAAAAGTTACACTTAGAAGACCGTCAATAAAGTTAGAAGCCTTCACATATCCTTTTAGTTCACTTTTATATACCAAGTATCTGTACTGGCTTATACTGAATTTTTCACCTTTTTTTTTCTATATCAATCGCTGTTTTTTTGAAATACTGAGGCCACCATCCATGAAAGTTTAGTATGTCATCATTTTTAATTGATTTTACTTCAAAAGTTGGTGAGAACTTTTTGGCGGTCTCAATAAGATTTTCATACTGACTAGGTACATAGATTCGATCAAACCTCCTTACTGCTCGCTTGATCACTGAAAAGTTGCGATCACAGGGCAAAAAACTGTGCCCTCGTACTGGAAAATATTGGTGGATGATGGAAAATCTGTTATTTATCATCATTGCCAAAAACATTCTAGTCACCGTATGGTTTCTATTTTGGCCACCACATGCGTCACTAAATATATGGAGTTCCTTTACTTTATCAGGTATAGTGTTGAAAAAATCATTAAGAAAGCTACAGACTTCATTTGGACCCCTTTTGGCGGTCCCTTCAGTCTATGTGTATGTGTTTTCGTTATTAAGATAATAACATTCGATAATAATATTATTATCGAAAACTATCTTACGATTGTCGTGGTTGTCGTCGTTTTACTAAAAATAGACGAAAATAAACCAAACATTCTAACTAGCGTCACAATGAGTGGAAAAAAGATAATATTCCTGGAATATTATCTTTTTTCCACTCAGCGTACACTCAAAGTTAAATTCATACGCATAATTTCAATGGAATATTATCCTTCATACGTTCATTAAATGAAATCTACATTCAGCTACAAAATAGCTATCTCAGTTTATTTTTCGTATTTTTGGAATATTATCCTTTTTCTACTCAGCCGTTCAATTACGCTTTAAATATTTTTCGTTTAATTGTAAGTCGATGTAATTTTTATTTTCATTTTTTAAATAATAATGTACATTTTTTATAACTACTGTATTCCGTGCCCTTGTAGAGTTGTAATTCGATATGAATAAAAAAAAACTTCTTAAGCACGTGGAAAATGATGAACTCATGGGGTTGAAATTTGAATAGTACCCTTCTCGAGTATATGTTTATGTATCTCATAAAAATATCAAAAAACAAATTTCAATTTAATTTCGAAGGTTTGAGTAATCCGTTTTTGATTTTTTTCTTTAGTCCTACTTGAGATTAACAATGAAATATTCTTGTATATTGTGAAAATATTATCTTTTACGTTTAAACACGTATGAGTACTATTGAAATCACCAATAATTATTATAATTTTTTGCACCATGGATGTATATTATGTTAAAATATCGCAATGCAACAGCAAATACAATTTGTTTTATTATAAAATATTTACAATTGGTAGAAGAATTAAAAAATAAATGTCTAGCTACTTAATTTTTTAAATCAGTCAAATTATAGTATTACCATTTTTTAATATAATACAAGAATTAAAGATCATATTAGCAATGTAATAATATAGTTTTCACT